AATAATAATATTAATTGATATTATTGAACACTTACTGTGTGTCAGGCCCAGGGCTACTTGCTAATTATGGTGGAAATTATAATTATCCCGATTTTATAACTGAGAAAACCAACTGAGGCACAGAGAAGTAACAATGTACAGAAAGCAGACTATCAGTATTCATTAGAAACTAGGAAACCTAGCTCAGTTCCTGTCGTTCAGTGGTTAGGGCACCGGCCACATACACCGGAGGTGGTGGGTTTGAACCTGGCCCAGGCCTGCTAAACAACAATGACAACTACAACAAAAAAATAGTCAGGCATTGTGGTGGGTACCTGTAGTCCCAGCTACTTGGGAGGCTAAGGCAAGAGAATCGCTTAAGCCCAAGAGTTTGAGTTTGCTATGAGCTATGACACCACAGTACTTTACCAAGGGCAACATAGTGAGACTGTCTCACAAAACAAAATAAAACAACAACAAAAACCCCAAAGAAACAACAACAACAAAAAAAGAAATTAGGAAACCAGCAAGAATGAGGGAGGAATAAAAAGGAAATAGCAAAGTATAATTTAAAAAGATGAAAAGAATCTACCAACATGATAGGTTTTATATCCTATCATCTTTCAAAAGACACATACTCTGATGGGATTTAAGACTCAAAGATATTTTCAGGATATACAGCTAGGATTAGACAAAGAGACAAAGAAAAAATCTGAAAATAAATATCTGAGAAAACTTATCCAAGGTTGATGCAAAGAAAAAGAGGGCAATTTGGCTCTAAAAACTCAATTTCAAAAATGGAGGCATCAACAGGATTAAGATGGTTATTAAATATAATGAAAATAGGTCTGATGGGTCATAAAACCATAAACTGGGTATGTGAAGCAACATCTTGTAGAAACACAAAAGAAATGAGATAAAAAAAATTAGAAGAAATAAATACTTATATAGAGACATAGATGTGTGTACACTTGTACATCTAAATGTATTTGTATATCTCTAAATGTATGTCTGTATTTCAGATTATGATAAAGCCAGTGCATAAAGGGCTTGAATAAACCAACTGACAAGCTAAAATTAGAGGACAAAGACAAACCAATATTCAACTCAAGAAATCTGAAAAGGAACTACAACAGGTAACATTTGTTCTGTACCTATCATGTGCTAGGCATTGTCATTAGAATCTTACAATATTACCACACTCAGTTGTCAACCATCCTTTTGAAAAAAAGATACTTTATTGCTCTTTCCATTTTCTAGATGAGGAAACCGAGACACAGTAAAAGAAAGTGCCAGATGAAGGTCCTGGAGCAGTAAAACCTGGAGCCAGATTAGAACAAGGAAGTCTCATGTCCGAGCCTTTTTAACCTCAACACCATCAACAAAATACTCAAAAAAGAACATATGAAGAGAGTTTTAATACAGACAAAAACTAAAGTTAATGAAATAACAAATCATAAATAAATCTAGCATGTTCTTTGACAGGACCACTGAAATACATAAATCCCTACCTGGTCAGATTTAGTTTTGAAAGACACAAAGTAAACTGTTCAACATCATAAATATAAAGAGAAATATAGCTACCAGTATAGAAGAAAAGAATTATAAGAAAAATGTCAATGCAACACCATGATGGCAAATTCAAAACTCTAAAGGAAATGGGTGATTTCCTACTGAAATATAATCTCCGGAACTGCATATAAGGGAAAGCAGACATCTGACTTCAACGGAAGTTAGAAAATAAAGACTTGCTTTATCTAATTAATCTTTAATAATAAATAATTCCTATGAAAGTTCTCTAGATCATAATAAGATGCAAAGTTCCCTATGTCATTTATAAAGCTACCATAGCATTATAACAAACATAAAAAAAGAAAATTAAAAATCACTTCATCTATAAATAAAGGTGCAAAAATTATAAATGAAATATCAGTAGATCAAATCTAGCAGTAAAAAAAAAAACACTATAGAAATTCAAGGTTGGGGCAACACTTATCACCAGCCTTTATTAAATCAATAAATCTAAGTAGAAAAGCTAAATAAATATATCAGTAGCTTCAAAAAAGGGATTTGGCAAAATTCAGCAACCTTTCCTAATAAAAACTTAGAACAAAAATGAACATATGCAAATTACCTAAATATAAAAAGAATCTATTTATCAAAAACCTATAGCAAATGGTTATAAATTACAGGAACAGGATAAATATACTTGTCATCATCCTGATTATGTAACTTCTGTAATTTCTGGACATAAACAATAAAACACAGACTAAAATAAGCTATATAAATATGACAAAAGAAAAGACAAACGTACTTTGAGTTCTCCAGGAATGCTACCAAAAACTATTTGAACTAAGAAGTTTGTAAAAGGACTGATAAAAGATAAATAAACAAAATAACTTTTCTCTATGGTACATCATTTTGGAAATGGAAGTGGAAAAGATTTTACATATTTCATTAAAATAGTGGCAAAAATTAAAAAGTCACTAATAAATGATGAGTATAGGATTTTCAGGAAGAAAATTATAAAATCTCATTAAAGAAGAAAAAAGCTGGGCAGTGCCTATTGCTCAATGGAGTAGGGCCCTGGCCCCATATACCAGACGTGGTGGGCTCAAACACAGCCCTGGCCAAAAACTGCAAGAAAAAAAAGCTATACCCATAAGGCACCATGGGCGATATATAAAATATTCTAATAGTCAAGATGTCTTTCGAAAAAATGTGTAGAAAAGTTGCATTAACAGATTATAAGACTTAAATGAAGTGCCTCTAATCAAAACAATACAGCATTTGAGGCAGGTGTGGTGGCTCCTGGCACTCTGGGAGATGGAGGCTGGTGGATTGCCTGAGCTCACAGGTTTGAGAGCAGCCCGAGCAAAACCTGAGATCCCCAACTCTACTAAAAATAGAAAAACTGAGGAAAGAGGATCACTTGAGCAAAGAGTTAGAGGTTGCTGTGAGCTATGATGCCACAGCTCTCAATCCAGGGTGACAGCTTGAGACTGTCTCAGAAAACAAACAAACAAACAACCCCCCCTCCAAAAAAAAAAACAATATAGCATTTGCCAGAAACAGAGTAATAAGCAAGTGAACCAGTATTGAGAATCCCAAAATGTATACGGGGTAGATATTTGCGGAAATTCCAATGGTGACATTTTAATCCAGAGGGAAAAGAAAGCTTTATTTTAAAAACTATGTTAGAATAACTGGCTATTTATAAGAGATGAAGGCAAGACACTGCCCCCCTTCCTTCCTACAATACACTTAGATAAACACAAAAAAGTTAAAGCTTAGTAAAAGCTAAAAGAATAAAAATATTACAAGGGACTCCAGGAGAGTTATTTATATAAAATTAGAGTGGAAATGGACTTTTTATATATAGTCAGACACCATAAAAGAAAAGATGAACCTATTTGGTTATATATTGTTACATCTTTGTTATTACAAAAGATAATAGACAAAAGAAAAATAATAGATTGAGAAAAATATTGGCAACATAAATGATAAACAAAGACTTAAAAACAATCCCTACTCCAAAGTGAGAAAGACAAAACAAGTCTTTAGAAAAATAAATCAATAGAAATTAACAGGCAGTTCACATGAGGGGAATGCAAATAGTTCATTAACATATGAAAAGCTATTCCATATTAATAACAATAAAACATGGAAATTAAAACTAGAATTATCACTTTCCCCCCTTGCACTGAGGAAAAGGAAAAGTTTCCAGGACGGCTAATGCTGGCGAAGGTGTGGGGACACAGTGCCCTGTGTTGCTGGTGAAGCTGAGAGGCATGAGTCTTTAGGGAAATGATTCTAAAGCAGTCTACTTTTAGGATTCTGAACTACCTAAGCAAACATACCTTAGAAAATCAGGATATTGCAAGGGGTAAAAAACTGAAATAATCCAAATGTCCACCAATTGGAGACAGGCTGAGTCAATTAAGCTATGCTGATTTTACAGATTTAAGGTACATATTTAAAACAATGAGTTGTAGCCATATTGACTGATCTAGAGGAAATATGTGATGAAGTGCTAAATTAAAAATACTAAGTTGAAGATAACAAATAATATAATACTATTTTTGTTATTAAAATGGGAAATTAAAATTAAAACTAGATCCTGCCTAGGTTTATAAATTCTTTTATAACTTTGCATATGGAAAGCTGTGCAAAGATCCTCCCAGGGTGTTAAATTATTTACTTTCAAGTGGGTAGACTCAATTTTTATTGCATCTCTCAATTATTTTCATGTGTTATAACAAGGATGTATTAACTTCTTTTTTCCTTTGCGACAGAATCTCACTATGTTGCCTTCAGTACAGTGCTATGGCGTCACAGCTCACAGCAACCCGAAACTCCTGGGCTTAAGTGATTCTCTTGCCTCAGCCTCCCAAGTAGCTGAGACTATAGGCGCCCGCCACAGCACCTGGCTATTTTTTTTATTGTTGTTGTAGTTGTTGTTGTTTAGCTGGCTCAGGCTGGGTCCAAACCTGTCAGCCTGGTTGTATGTGGCCGGCACTGACATACTAACTTTTATAATTCAAAAATTTTAAAAAGGAAATTTTAAAAAGGAATTGCTCAGAATTCTGGTACATTTACCTGATTTTGGGAAAAAGACAAAGAAAACCTTGAGAAAATATATGAAGCCCAGATTTCAGATCCTACCCTGCTATGATTTGAATGTCCACTATAAAGCTTATGTTGAAATATAATAGCTGTCACAATGATATTAAGAGGTGGGACCTTTAAGAGGTGATTAGGCCATGAGGGATCTGCCTTCCAGAGTGGATGAATGCTGTTATCACAGGGGTAGTTCATTATCTCAGGGGGGCTGTGCAGTTTGGCCCTCTCTCGCTCTTCTGCCTTCTTCTGCGGGATGCTGATGCCACATTCTTATAATTCTTAGCCTCTAGAACCATGAGCCAAATGTATTTCTATCCTTTATAAATTACCCAGTCTGTGGTATTCTGTTATAGCAGCAAAATGGATGAAGACACAGCCCAGAGTCTCTGACTACTCACTGTTTTTCCCATGTAACTACCAGGCAGGGCACTGGCTTCTATGAAATACTTCCTGAGGAGATGTTTGCTGGGGTCAGGACTGTCCAGTAAAATGTAGGAGCAAAAGTAGGCCCCGTGCCGAAGCAGGAATATGGCAATGTCTTCATTCCCTAAAGGGACAAAAACAGAAAACTAAGGGCATTCAGAATGGACAGTGTCACAGCTGTCAGAAAGGCAGCCAGGATTTGTGGAATGAAAACTGAAAAGGTTAGACTTCTCCAATACTTCCTTTGATGCACCAAGTTCCTGTTAGTGGGAGGGTTCTTGTGGCACTCTGCCCTTTGGAGTGCCTCATACAGTATTGCTATTTGCCAAAATCAGGGATGAGTGAGGATGCAGATATTTTGAAAAGAAAAAGAGAACAGGAGTTACAAAAGTCTCCCACAAAAGTGATTTGAGAGCCAGGGTAAGAGTGAAGAGAGCCCCACTTCTAGAAGCCACAATTGTTGGCATGGGCAGGGCTGGCATGGGGAGTGGGGGGGTACTCACCTGACTTGATGGCTGCGTAGAGAGGCAAGCGCACGATGACAGGGAATTCATTCTTCCTGACTGCGTAGCTCTCTGGGTCTGCCCCGTGTGTCAGAACCAGGAGCTTCACTACGCCCAGGTGCCCACGCTGGCACGCAACGGCCAGCATCCAGTTCAGCAGCCTCTGGGGGCTGCTGGGACCTAGCGGGAGACAACAGGACACAGGGGAAAGTGCCAACTGAGGGTGCTGGTTGCTCCCACTTCATCTTCCCTTTGCCCATTCATATGACTAAGCTGTCCCGGTGCCAGCCAGAAGTCCCTTCTGTTAGGTTGACAGTCCTTTATGTAATAGTCCCTCTGAATTGCATATGATATTTCCCCACATGTCATATGTTTTCTATGACAAGTGAAGAAAACCAGGATTCCAAACAGCCTATGCAGTGTGATCTAAGCTGAATAAAACGTGGGTGTGTGGCAACAAGACTAGAAAGAACTGGCTTGGCACCCATGCTAGGGTGCTAGCCACATACACCGAGGCAGGCGGGTTCAAACCCAGTCCGAGCCTGCTAAATAATAATGACAACTACAACAAAAAAATAGTCGGGTGCCTGTAGTCCCAGCTACCTGGGAGGCTGAGACAAGAGAATGGCTTAAGCCCAAGAGTTAGAGGTTGCTGTGATGCCACAGAACTCTACCAAGGGTGACATAGTGAGACTCTGTCTCAAAAAAAAAAAAAAAGAAAGAAAGAAAGAAAGAAGAAATGACTAGAAAGAACTACGGCCTTGTTGCAGCATTCTATCTGGACAGTGGGATTCCGAAGACTCCCCACACTCCTTTCCATACCTTGGTCCTCCTCCCTGCCCCTACAGTGGTGTCATACACAGGAGTTTGGACTTGGGAGAGAAGTAGTTTAGGGTTAAAATATTTTAGCTGTGTAATTTTGGACAAATTTCTTAAACCCACAGTGCCTCAGTTTACCCATTGATAACATGGGAATAATAACACCTATTCTCCCATGTTTAATATGAGGATTACATAGCATAACGCATACTGACTGCCTAGATCAATAAATCCTAAGTCATAATGTTATGTCATTATGTTTATTAGAGTACTAGTGCTTTTCTACATTTCTAAATTATCTGTAAAATGCAGATATTAATTTAATAAACACAATAATAAAAGCTTTGATGAAAGAAATAGCTCTAACTCCCCCGCCTAAAACTTTTAGAATTATTCCCAGAAACATCCATCTACTTAATTCCAGGATGAACTAACACTTAGCTCATTGAATTAACAGGGACAGTCTGGCCTAAGTGTTAACAGTATTTTCAAGTTTAAAATAGTGCAATATTTTTTGGGTCCAGTTGCCTGAAAAATTACCTCATATTCTGCACTGACATTTCCCAACTGGATTGTAACATTGTCTCGTTTCCAGAGGCACAAAGTCCTTAGGGACCCTAAGGTTCCCAAGTGAGGGAAGAGCGACCCCCTACCTCCACTCCATGATAGGACACTGACCCAGAAACAGGGCAGGATGGAAGGGATTAAAATCCACCAAATAAGGCACCTGGCACAGGACTTACACTGAAGCCTGTGCTAAGTAAATTCCCCTTCTTCTTCCTCTACTTTTAACCAGAATTAATAATTCAGAGGTATATTCACAGAAAAGAAGTGATCCCTAATTCATTTACTACAAGGATATCTAGGTAGGAGAAATATGGTAAATCATGATACTAACTTCTGTTGAAATATGAATGTATCAATCTTTTTTTTTT